TCTGCAGAGGTTTATTTGAAGAGTTTCAGTCAGGTTTCAGAGCTCAGCACAGCACAGAAACAGCTTTAGTGAAGGTTACAAATGATCTTCTTATGGCCTCTGACAGTGGACTCATCTCTGTGCTTGTCCTGCTAGACCTCAGTGCAGCGTTTGATACTGTTGACCATAATATCCTATTAGAGCGATTAGAACATGCTGTAGGTATTACAGGTACTGCGCTACAGTGGTTTGTATCATATCTATCTAATTTTTGCATGTAAATGGAGGGTCCTCTTCACACACTGAGGTCAATTAAAGGCCAATCCGTGAAAATACTATCGGACATAAATCGGTCAATGGTGCAAAAAAGGTTGGGGACCACTGCTATAAGATAAAGGAGCACATCAGTGTTTACTTTATAACCTGCCTTTGGTGGCTTTTTGGCAGCAACTGTGACATTCAGCAGTCGCCTCATTGTTCTGACACTACACACTAACTACACAACACACTAACTTTAGCATTCAGTCTCCATGAATCTGCAAACAGAGACACTCTCCAAGAAACTGTCTGACTGCCTCCTTCTCTGTCAGCTTATGTTTCTGCTTCAAATGGTTATGTGTTCTACTCCGAGCCAAAACTCTGTTTATAGCAAAGTCTGTGTTTGTGCAGATCAGAGATCTTCCACCACTAGAGCCTGTATTGGCTTGAAATACTGCCCCCTTCTGGCAGCATTTCATGTGACAGCAGAGATCCAGGGCATCTCTCCTGTTTTATCTCTCTCCATTGCTTCTCCAATGCATTCAGTGGCTTCCTCATAAACTGACATTTACAATAATGAATTATACAGCTGTGGGGAGTAGACTTCATCACAGTAGATACCTTTCTGAAAGTGCTGTAACTAAGTTTAAGAATAAAATTCTCCCACTGTTAGCATCTTCAATGCCCTGTACCAACACAGAGCAGAGCAGCTACCTGAATGCTACTCCAACAGAGGTCGATCATCTTGTTAATAATTTTATCTCCTCACTATGTACAGTAGCTCCTCTGAAAAATAAAGCCTCAAATCAGAAGTACTTGACTCCATGGTATAACTCTCAAACGTGGACCTTAAAGCAGATAACTCGTAAGCTGGAGAGGAAATAATGTGTCACAAATTTAGATCATCATTTAGCCTGGAGAAATAGTGTGTTGCTTCACTGATTAAAGAAAATAAGAACAACCCTAGGTTTCTCTTCAGCACTGTAGCCAGGCTGACAAACAGTCAGAGCTCTGCTGAGCCAACCATTCCTTTAACATTAACGAGTAATGGCTTCATGAAGTTCTTCACAAATAAATTTTAACTATTAGACCAATTATATATGCTTCCCTTTGGCAGTATCGTCAGAAGGCATAGCATACATTTTCACTGCTATGCAGATGACACCCAACTCTATCTATCCATGAAGCCAGATAACACACACCAATTAGTTAAACTGCAGGAATGTTTTACAGAAATAAAGACGTGGATGACCTCTAATTTTCTGGTTCTGGACAATAAACAGTACATTGCACAACAACTGAAACCAGCCCAATGAATGAACAGTGAACTGTGTCAGGGAACCCCCGATTTGATTTTCACCCAGGTGTCATTAACATACCTGAACCAATGACTTGGTGGTATTCCAGGGTAGGATAACAAAGCCCTCTTTTCCGCTTCTTCCACTTACAAGTCGGCCACAATGGTTGATATTGGGGAACCCATGGCACACCCATGTTTCTGTCTAATAACTTGTATGTGAAATTAGTGGAATTAAGACACAGTTCCTTCAAAATGTAAAAGAACCCACCCACCACTTTATTAACACTCTTGTCCTGACATACTGAATACAAACAGAATATTTAACAGTATTTCCTGAAAACCTTTTTTATTTGATCATGTCTTAGAAACATTTCACTTTACAATAATGAATTACACAGACGTGGGGAATAGATATCATCACAGTAGATTTCTTTCCATAAGGGATATAACCATAGCTGGACTGGCCATCGAGCATACCGGGTATTTGCCCAGTGGGCCGATGGTGATTCTTCGTTTTTATGGGCCGATGGGTTTTGTTTTGTTTGTTTGTTTTGTAACAGTATAAACAATGAAAGGTGGTGGATTGGCCAGATGCTGGCCGGTGTGTAAAAATAACTCAGTTGTTTGGTGGTGGCTATGGTGGAGCTTTCACAGAGGCCAGCAGGTGGATGAGGAAAAGGGAAGGCAGGAGGAGGAGAGACCCGAGGCGGCCGCCGGTCCGAGTGTCAGGTGAACTGAACTTCAGGTAAGAAGTTATGACCTGCAGTCTATCTGGGTCAGATATAAACCAAGTTTAGGTGGAGTTTATTTTCGTTGTGCTGACTTTTTACAGTCAGTTACAATAACTCGTACTGCTACTAGCTAGCATGTCTGGGTGGGTGCTATGATGTTACTGATAGTGAACTATATTTTATTCATAAGGTTAGTTATTAGAGTTGCCAACCATCCCATAAAAAATGGAATCGTCCCGCATTCAGAGAAAATATTACGCATTCTATTGAGCTAAAAAGGAACACAGTTTGTCCCGTACTTCAGCTAGAATGGAAAAAGACACAAAGCTGGAGTTATTCGGCTTCTTTAGCTGTCAGCTGCCTCTTCTTCTCTCATTCTCTCCCCTCCCTCTCCTGTTCTACTTCAATCATGAAACTGATCAATGATCAGCTGATCGGCTTTTCTCTCTTGTTTGTTTATCGCCCACTTTGCGCCAGAAAGAGGAAACCAGCGGATGTCGCGCTAAACAACAGCAGCACGTTTAAGCTTGATCAGCTGTTGTTAGAATTTATTTAATATTAATTTCTAGTATCAGCTGATGTTTGCTGGAGCCACAGCTGTAAAGCTGCTGGTCATGATATCGTTTGGTTATCTGGTGAGAGGGAAACATGAAGATGAAACCAGGAGATGTCCTTACTGAATCATCAGAGCTGAACAGGTGATGGAGAAACAGGTTTACCTTTTAGGTGACATGAATGAGTTGAAGGGAAGTTATGAACTGTTTCTGAGAGACAAATAACACCAGGATCCTTTTTTATGTAGCTGACAGCTGGTAACTGTGCAGGGGCGGGTCTAGCAAAGTTTTGCCAGGGGGCCAGGTAGGGCATTAACAGGGAAAGGGGGGCACAAAGAAATACTTTTCTTTCTTATTCTCATTTAAAATGTCTAGCTTTTATTAAATAATTATCTGAATCTTACAACCAAAGTTTTTATCTGATGTAAAATGTATAGAAATCATACATATACCAACAAGACTGTACATCACTGTCACAACAGCGTTTGTTTTCATTCAAAGGCTTTATGGCTTTTCCTATAATACCTGGTGGGCCGGTCTCTGTCAAAATGCCTGGGCCAATTTTTTGTCCCAGTCCAGCCCTGGATACAACTAAGTTTAAAGATATAATTTATCCACTGTTATCTTCTTCAACGCCCTGTGCAAACACAGTGCAGAGCAATGACCTGAACACTACTCCACAGGTCAGTTACACTGTTAATAATTTTATTTCGTCACTACCTAAAACTCTGGATACTGTAGCTCCTCTGAAAAAGAAAGCCTTAAAATTACAAGTACTCGACTCCCTGGTATAACTTTCAAATGCACATCTTAAAGCAGATTGTCATAATCATCTGGGCCATGTTGGCCCAGCATTCTTAGTTTCATGTATTTTTGTATTTTGTTCCTTATTTGACTTCCCCTTGTGACTTTTACCCATGTGTGCCCCTCTGTGTATCTGTGAGCCCTCGTTTCCCCTCGTGTTTTATTCCATGTTTTCCCCAGCCCGTTATGTCTGTGCTCTCCCCGTGCTCCCTCTCTCCTCCTGTCTGCGCCTCTGTGTACTTCCTGTTTTACTTTGACAGTCTCCCGTCAGTATGCGTCATGTTGTGTTGCTCCTGCCCTGTCTCGTTACGATTATCTGTGTCAGCTGTGTTCCCCGTGTGCTCCCACCTCCCTCGTTAAACCTCTGTGTATTTATGTCCGCGTCTCCCTCTGTTCAGTGTCGCATTCTCCCTCATTCATGGCCGTGTGTTTCTCTGTGTGCTAGTGTATTGCTTCCCAGTGTAGTTTCTTATCAGTTTGTTTCGCTGTTTCCCTCCAGCAATAAAGCTGTGTTTTGAGTTCATTCCTGCCTCTGTGAGCTTGCGTTTGGGTCCACTTCCTGCCTGCCACACAGCCGAATCATGACACAGATAACTCGTAAGCTGGAGAGAAAATAGCATCTCATTAACTTAGAAGATCATCATTTAACCTGGAAAAATTGTTTGTTGGTTTGAAAAAAAAATTAAAAGACCTGCATGAACCTGGAACATCTTACTATTCATCACTAATTAAACAAAATAAGAACAACCCTAGGTTTGTCTTTACCACTGCAGTCAGGCCGACAAAAAGTCAGAGCTCTGTTGAGTCAACCATTCCTTTAACCTTAACTAGCAATGACTTCATGAAGTTCTTCACAAATAATGTTTAACTATTAGAAAAAAATGCTCATAACCATCTCACAAATGTAGTATTATGTACAGCTTATTTCAATACCATTGATATTTATCTAGAATCTTTTCTCCCTTATTGAGTTAACTTCAGTAATTACTTACTCAAACCGTCAGAATGTATTTCCTGCAGGAAGAGCAATCTTGTTCTTAGAGTAGATTTTTCATTTTGAATATTTTAAGGACAAACATTGCAAATTTAAATGTAGTAATGTTATATTGGAGCATCATTATGACACTATTATGAGATTATTAATAGAAGTGACGCCATTACTTTATTAAGTGCTACTCTGCTATGTGGAATCATAATAAGATAAGATCTGCAATTACGGTATATTGTAAAAATACATGAGATTTCATGTCAATTTTAAGCTTCATCAAAGGGATTTGATTTAGTGTGTCGTTTTCTTTAGATTAATTGTGAAAAAATGCATTTATTCATTTTTACTCTTTACAGATGAAAAGTAGCACTCATATGATGTTAGTTTAAATACAATGGGGGGAAGGGTGCCCTCATCCCCGTGCTTCAGATCGGCCCTGTCCGTGGAACTAACGGGATTAAAATCACTGCGATACCAGGAGGAGTTGCCTGTTTTGGTGCTCATTACCGAAGCTGGGCCCACAGAAGCTGTCCTTTGCATACTGCATTTCCATCTGCCAGTTCACGGCCGGAGATATTTCCATCTACGCTGTAATCCCACGTATGCTCCTGTTTATCATGCCTGGGTACTGACAGGCTGCGGGACACAATGAGGACTGGTATCCGTGTCATCGCGCAGCCTGGAGCTGTCTGGCCTCAGCACGTTAGCAAGCTAACCATTTTTTTCTAAGCAGAAGCCCTGCATTGCTTCGACATGCTAAAGGATTTCATGAACAACACACGGGAGGTTTCCTCCGACTTGCCTGGAATACTGCGCACGGAAGTGCAGCGAGGAATCGTCAAGGTTTCCGACGACCGCAAGAAGCAGAGGATCCACAGGGCGTCTGTTGCTGTCTGACAGCCCCGACCAAACATGGCTTTACGGCTGCTTTTACAGGATATTACTGCCTCAGATTTCTAACATATAAACAGGAGATACGAGTTGACAGCATACGCATCATAAAGTGTTTGAATGGCGGCGTACACACTGTGTGCTGTGAATGGGACTAGGCGCTTACTGGCCACCGGCACAGGTTGTGTGAAAAGCACCGAGATATGACATGCACAAGAAAAAAGAGGAAAGCTGCTTTTGCTTCTTTAAACCTTTTGATTTTTAAAGGTAGTGTGCAACACTTTTTTTTAATACAGATTTGGTCCACCGGCAACGTTACTTATGCTTCTGTTTTTAGGCTAGAAGCCAGGTGCATCACCGTATTTCATGTAGACTGCAACAGACGTCTGGACAAGCAACCCACGGCAGGTAAGGAGCTCAGTATGACTGCCATTTAATATTGCCTACACAAAATGTCACACTTTCTGCTTCTGTGTGCCTGTATATTTATCTGAGTGCAGTAAGCTCTTGCTGGCATTTTTCTAGCATCCTCCTCTAGGCCCAGACAATTGCAGCTTGCTAAGACTGTTGCCCTTTGTCTGCCCCAGCCTCTACAGGGTGAGCACCAAATGAGGGCCTCTGAATGTAGAACAAATCAGAATGTTGAAGCATGCCTCAGAGCAGCATAAATGATGTTGATGATAAATAATACAGGATTTCCAGCAGCTATACAACCTTGATCAGCACTGGGACTGCCAACTTATTTAGTATCATTTGATGTTTGGGCCATTCACAGAACACAGAACAAACTCCTGGGGGCATATAGACAACGCTGTTTCAGGTTTTGAGACAGCCACCCTCCTTAAGGCTGGACTGTAGCACCCGGTGGCCCCCATGTCCTCAACAGACCTGTAGACTCCATGTAGGGAAGCCTGATGCTGGGTGCAGCTGTCAGAAACCAACAATGTACATCTCATCCAGTGAGCTTTGTCGCCTCCTCCCACCGATGTAAAGCTAGAGGTACTGGGTTGCTGTTGCTACCCAGTTCCTGACAGTGACTCTGCCCTCCGCCGCCAACCAACTTTCAGCTTGACAAAGCCCCTCCTTTAAGATGCACAGCCTCTCTCACAGAATTCACCACAGCTCCCAGCCTGTGGCTTAGCAGGGCTTCAATTCGTGTTGACAGTGTGCTCTTAGCTCTGTATTTTTGTAAATCCTATCAAATTAACTTCAACATAAATCCTAAAACGTCAGCAAGAGAATTCCTTCGGTAATGTGTGTTTTCCAATGGTTGTCAAATTGCTGTTTTAAACTGTCATCTCAGTGCTAAATTAGAAACATCCAGTGTACCTACAGTTAAACTCATAAGGAACAGTTATTCCTGCCACCTAGTGAAGCCAGGGATTTGAAACTCTGCTCTAATCCTCTTCTACCAAATAAACAGGGAAGAGCAGCATTGCTTTTTCACTTTTTGATATAGTCTTGAACAAAGCTAAAGTTTGAAGTGTTGGGATGTTTTGTTTTTACAAAGTGGGTTTGGGATTGAATTTGCTAATACAAGTTTAAATGTAGTGTCATCAATGATGGTTAGCCTTCCCGAAGCAGAAATAAAATGTGCTGAAATTAAGTCACCACTGTAATGCAGTGCTCTGGTTTCTCTGCATTGAAGAGTTATCATTTAAACCACAAAGTGATATTTTAGTTAGACATATCCACAAAACTGTATTTAAGAGTGTTCTGGTCTTCTTTCCATGTGGTCGTGGTAGCACTGTTCTTTTTGAGAACAAAGCTTTTTTTCTTGCAGCCGTGGTATGGATGCCATTCTTGTTCAGTGTTCTTCTCTTACTCTTCTCCTCATCAAACTGAGGTTATTGTACTCAGCCCTGAAAATCTTAGAAATACGACATCTAACAAGATGCTTATTCTGGATGGCATTACCTTGGCCTCCAGTAACATTGTGAGGAATCTTGTGTTACTGGGGAATGTCCTTCAATGTGCCTATTAAACAAATATGTTCTGCTTTCTTCCATTTGTGCAACATCTCTAAAATTTGAAATATCCTGTCTCAGAGTGACGCTGAAAAACTAGTTCATGCATTGATTACTTCTGGGCTGGACTATTGTAATTCATTATTATCAGGAAGTCCTAAAACTCCCTGTCAATCATAAATCAAATTTAAAATCCTTTTCATTACATACAGAGTTTTGAATAATCAAAGCCTGTCTTATCTTAAAGATCTCATAGTACTGTATCACCCCAACTCCTGCACTTATGACAAGTGCAGGGGTTGGAGTGATACAATATGATATTTAAAATTAGAATGGGAGGCAGAGCCTTCAGCTTTCAGGCTCCTCTTTTGTGAAACCAGCTCCCAGTTTGGATTCAGGAGACCGACACCCTCCATACATACTTCCCAACCTTGAGACCTCAGAATTAGGGAGACATTCAAAAGGGCTGTTGGATTTCATGTTTATTTATCGGATGAAATAATAAATGTTACCGTTATTATTGTCCGGCCGGAAACAGCGGGGGTGTCCAAATTCAGAGGCTGCGTCCACCTGAGGACATGGCCTCCGCGGTCTAAGTGGTCCTCCAAAAGCCGGGTAGACCGGAAATGAGCGACTGTGAAATTGGGCAGTCTAGCCTTCAGAATTACGTCACAAGCTCCCTCGGTGGAGTGAAACTCTGCCATCTGCTTCTTGCTATCTAAAATATAACCAGACGCTGGCATAAATTTTTGACCATCTCACACTTCCGTTTAATCAGTTTACTGTTTGACATTTATTCAGCTGTGTGAAAACCCCAGAGGAATCCTCCTGAGGATCCGAGGCGCGCACACACACACACACACACACACACACACACACACACACACACACACACACCACACACACACACACACACACACACCACACACACACACACACACAGACAAAACATATTAAGGATTGTACATTAACATAAAACTGTTGTACACACACACATATGAAGAGAGAGAGAGTATGCATAGTATGCAAACGGCTACCAAACAGCCATCATAATTCGTCATACAATGAGAACAGGACAAATCAACAATTGACAATGACTAATTAATATTAAAATCTGTAACATAAGGTATTGTTTGGAGTTTAGTCTGTTACTGTTGCTATTTTTACCATTTCTTCTTGGAGCAACTGTAACACACATAATTTCCTTAGGGATTAATAAAGTATTCTGACTGATTGTTTCAGGATGACCTGCCATTATCCAATGACACATCTGCTTACCTGTATCTTTTGCTCGTTTCTCCTCCTCTTCTTTTCTCTTTTTTCTAAACTGAGCACCTGATGGCTTTGAACTTTTCTTGTCCATCTTCCATTGGTTTTAATTTTGCACTCCAGTATGAACACCCATCCCTCAACCCAAGGATCACCACAACATGATCTAACACACCTACACCTTAGTTCACAGATTCACTTTGTCTAAGGTGCATTTCTGAGATTTCACACAACCCAGGATTCAAATCATGAATACATAATGGGCTTGGATTTACAACATTATAAATGAAATGTGCTCTATTTGGAAGCAGCCGGCCCCTCCCTTTCGACGGGTTGTGTGTGAGACTTTAAATCATCAAACTGTAAATTTTAAATTGTTATTGATCCCTTTACCCCTAGTCCTAAAGTGTATATTTATTTTCTTACTCTTCTTATATATATTGTTTGTTTACTTGCACTGCTGTAACTGGAGCCTCGTCGTCTCGTCTCTCTATACAGGGAGTGCAGAATTATTAGGCAAGTTGTATTTTTGAGGAATAATTTTATTATTGAACAACAACCATGTTCTCAATGAACCCAAAAAACTCATTAATATCAAAGCTGAATGTTTTTGGAAGTAGTTTTTAGTTTGTTTTTAGTTTTAGCTATTTTAGGGGGATATCTGTGTGTGCAGGTGACTATTACTGTGCATAATTATTAGGCAACTTAACAAAAAACAAATATATACCCATTTCAATTATTTATTTTTACCAGTGAAACCAATATAACATCTCCACATTCACAAATATACATTTCTGACATTCAAAAACAAAACAAAAACAAATCAGCGACCAATATAGCCACCTTTCTTTGCAAGGACACTCAAAAGCCTGCCATCCATGGATTCTGTCAGTGTTTTGATCTGTTCACCATCAACATTGCGTGCAGCAGCAACCACAGCCTCCCAGACACTGTTCAGAGAGGTGTACTGTTTTCCCTCCTTGTAAATCTCACATTTGATGATGGACCACAGGTTCTCAATGGGGTTCAGATCAGGTGAACAAGGAGGCCATGTCATTAGTTTTTCTTCTTTTATACCCTTTCTTGCCAGCCACGCTGTGGAGTACTTGGACGCGTGTGATGGAGCATTGTCCTGCATGAAAATCATGTTTTTCTTGAAGGATGCAGACTTCTTCCTGTACCACTGCTTGAAGAAGGTGTCTTCCAGAAACTGGCAGTAGGACTGGGAGTTGAGCTTGACTCCATCCTCAACCCGAAAAGGCCCCACAAGCTCATCTTTGATGATACCAGCCCAAACCAGTACTCCACCTCCACCTTGCTGGCGTCTGAGTCGGACTGGAGCTCTCTGCCCTTTACCAATCCAGCCACGGGCCCATCCATCTGGCCCATCAAGACTCACTCTCATTTCATCAGTCCATAAAACCTTAGAAAAATCAGTCTTGAGATATTTCTTGGCCCAGTCTTGACGTTTCAGCTTGTGTGTCTTGTTCAGTGGTGGTCGTCTTTCAGCCTTTCTTACCTTGGCCATGTCTCTGAGTATTGCACACCTTGTGCTTTTGGGCACTCCAGTGATGTTGCAGCTCTGAAATATGGCCAAACTGGTGGCAAGTGGCATCTTGGCAGCTGCACGCTTGACTTTTCTCAGTTCATGGGCAGTTATTTTGCGCCTTGGTTTTTCCACACGCTTCTTGCGACCCTGTTGACTATTTTGAATGAAACGCTTGATTGTTCGATGATCACGCTTCAGAAGCTTTGCAATTTTGAGACTGCTGCATCCCTCTGCAAGATATCTCACTATTTTTGACTTTTCTGAGCCTGTCAAGTCCTTCTTTTGACCCATTTTGCCAAAGGAAAGGACGTTGCCTAATAATTATGCACACCTGATATAGGGTGTTGATGTCATTAGACCACACCCCTTCTCATTACAGAGATGCACATCACCTAATATGCTTAATTGGTAGTAGGCTTTCGAGCCTATACAGCTTGGAGTAAGACAACATGCATGAAGAGGATGATGTGGACAAAATACTAATTTGCCTAATAATTCTGCACTCCCTGTATACTGTACTGTAGCGGAGATGACAATAAAGTTTACTTTGACTTCAGCAGCAAGCAGGTGCACCGAGGGCTCTCGCGCTCACTTTTCGTGTATAGAATTTGAAAAACACATCGGTGCAAATTATAAGTCTGTATTATAATGTCTGGTGTTTTCGTGTTTGTTGGTTTGTTTTTATTTTGTTTTATTTTGCGAGTTGGTTATTAGATGCTGCTCCAGCCGGTCAGAGAATCCCCCGCCGCCCCGCCCTCTCTCTCTGCGCCGCAAGCAGCAGGCGCACCTCGCAAACGAAGGGCGCCCTTACTCCCAGCAAATGGGCGATAGAAAACCGATCGGTGCCTATGCCATTCCCAATATGCGCTGGCTGACGTCGGGGCAGCATGAGTACGAGCATTTTTTTTTTTTTTGCCAATGCCCGTGATGCCGCCCCACGAAAAAAAATTGAAAACGATGTGCTGGGAATTTGCTGATTTCCCCGGCTCAGATATTTGAAGTTTACACAGGTACATTCTCGTCTGAAAATATGTTAAAAGTTTATTTTGCAACCCAGAAAGAGTAATAAGAGTAATATTAAAACTAAGTAGCTGCAGTAGTAGTAGCCATTGTTGGAAACTGGAATTGGCTGGGCCAGTCTGGGATATGGTTTTTCAGTTTTGTTGTCCGGGTGGAAATTCATGAGAAATTCGGGAGAATGGTGGCTCCAGGAGATTTTCGGGAGGGGCACTGAAATTTGGGATTCTCCCGGAAAATCGGGAGGGTTTGCATGTATGCCTCTATACCGTAACCTTAAGATTATGCTTAAAACCCCCAAAAGTTGATTCTGTTCATCTGGACATATATAGCGTTTTCAATGTGAGAAACCTTTCATCGCTCATCCAGCCTCAGCTGACTGCAGGTTTCCGCAACCTTACAAAGAGTACACAATGACTGAAAGTAGCACCACTGGCGAAGAATGGGCTGTGAGGTCAGTTTCTTGATCAATAATGTGCAAATTGTCATGACCATTGATGAAAGACCACTGATCAATGGCCATGAGTACCATTCACAGAGAGTTTGGGAATGGCTGCAAAGATGGTCCCCTCTTCTATAGCCACTAGATCACGACCAAACCATGAGAGATGCAGGCTTTTAAACATGAACACTGATAAGGTGGATGATCTCTCTCCTTTTTAACCCAGGGTCCATGTTTTCCAGCAAGAACCCAGGAACAGTTTTCCACTTTGCCTCTGTCCTTTTGCATAAAGAAGGCAACAGCATTTCTGTAGCCTATTCACATGTGACTTCTTTGCATGGCGAAGCTTTAACCTGCATTTGTGGATACCACAGCAACCTGTGCTCATAGACTGTGATTTCTGGCAGTGTTCCTGAGCACAGTGATGTCCACGATAGAGTGATGTCTGTTTTTAATACAGTGCTGCCCGAGGGTCTGATGATTACAGACATTTGTCCAGATTCTCTGAATCCTTAGACAATATTTTGTTCCGCTTTTTCATTTTCATTATTATAGTTAGTTTCCTAATTGCAGAAGATAATAACATAAACTTTATAGGGCTGAACATCACACAGGGTATCAGAAGTATGAAGACACTGTGATGATCAGAGTTAGTATAAGCCTGTACACTCTGAGTAGTTTTATTGCTTTTTATTATTTGATCATGTTTCTCTTTAGTGTTTAGTAGTAGATCTTTTTCAGAATTTCAGTGTAGATGTTCAAATATAAATACAGCTTATTCAGTGTTTAGTTGTCCCTAGTCAAAAATAAAGGTTGTGAAATTTGACCAAACTGATAAAGATATTATGTATATTTTTATTTCAATTCAATTAGTTTTACATGTCCCAATCCAGCTAGCACTGGTTTGTTTCATAACTGTTATTATCGTTTTTAAAATGATTTTTCACACCTTGTTTAATTTTTTGGTTAAATTTTAGGTACATGACACTGAACACAAGTGTCACAGCAAATGGATATTTGCCACTAAAGTTCAGTAAAAGGAATAAAAGGGAGGGGATTTCACTTCAATTCTTAAATTAAAAAAATATTTTTTTAAAATTTGACTCTTAAGGGGTCAGGTGAGATTTTATTCCTCAAATTTGGTTGATTATATATGAAATGGCCCAATCGTCATGATTTTCAGTACTCATTTGTAGACTAACACGTGAAAACTCCCGGCGAAGTCATGTTGAACATTTCTGAATTATGTTTTAAGTATGTTTTTGACGTTGCCACCAAAAATGTGGTTTCTGCGTTAGAGAAAAAGAAGCCATGTGTTGTTTTGTCCTTTTAATCTGTGCTAGTAATACATGAGTGACTGAAATGATTTTTCATTTCTGATGAAGAGCCATCAAACGCCTAATTCTTGATCTCTTCTGGTTGTTTTCAGGACCCGTGTGAGGATTAAGAGGCAAGAGGAGAGGTCACAACAACGAAGGGACTTTGCTCGAAATGGAGCAATGTGTCTTGAGGTGTTCCTGTTTAGTGTAAACTACAAAAAGGAAGCAACCACGAGTACGGAGGAACGATTGGCAGACGAGGGAGGTGGTGGTGGAGTGGTGACTTTGTTGTCTAAAAAAAAGGTGTTATGGGTGGGGGGGCATTTGGGATGGCAAATGGAAATGAGAGCAGTGAAGGGCCTGTGGGGCCAATGGCAGCAGTGGTGGCTACTGCAGAAGGCATGGTAGCAGACAGTTCATCCTCCGTTATCTCTACGTATATTAAACTGGTGCTACTTGGGCTGATCATATGCATTAGTCTGGTGGGGAACTTGGTGGTTTCTCTGCTTGTACTCCGGGACCAGGCTCTGCATAAGGCACCTTACTATTTCCTCCTGGATCTGTGCCTGGCAGACAGCATTCGCTCAGCTATCTGCTTCCCCTTTGTGCTGGTGTCTATAAAAAATGGCTCAGCGTGGACCTACAGTGTGCTTAGCTGCAAGGTGGTAGCCTTCATGGCAGTGCTCTTCTGCTTCCATGCTGCCTTCATGCTCTTCTGCATCAGTGTAACACGCTACATGGCCATTGCACACCACCGTTTTTACTCGAAGCGCATGACATTCTGGACATGTGTGGCGGTAGTGTGCATGGTATGGACGCTATCTGTGGCAATGGCATTCCCGCCTGTTTTTGATGTGGGCACCTATAAATTCATTCGTGAGGAGGACCAGTGCATTTTTGAGCATCGCTACTTCAAGGCTAATGACACACTGGGCTTCATGCTAATGCTTGCTGTACTCATTCTAGCCACACATGTCGTCTACATGAAGTTACTTCTCTTTGAGTACAAGCACCGCAAGATGAAGCCAGTCCAGATGGTGCCAGCTATCAGTCAGAATTGGACCTTTCATGGGCCAGGAGCTACAGGCCAAGCAGCTGCTAACTGGATTGCGGGTTTTGGTAGGGGCCCGATGCCACCCACTCTGCTGGGAATACGGCAAAACTTGCACAACCAGAACCGGCGACTCTTAGGCATGGAGGAGTTTAAAGCAGAGAAGCAGCTTGGCAGGATGTTCTATGTGATCACATTACTGTTCCTGGTGCTCTGGTCTCCCTACATAGTAGCTTGCTACTGGAGGGTGTTTGTCAAGGCTTGCACAATACCACACCGGTACCTCTCCACCACTGTGTGGATGAGTTTTGCCCAAGCAGGGGTCAATCCTATCGTCTGCTTCTTCCTTAATAAAGACTTGAAGAAAGGGCTCCTTTCCCACCTACCAGCCTGCTGCAGGACTAAACCTCATCTGCCACGAGAGCCTTACTGTGTCATGTAACTAGAGATGATGAAGAAAAAAAACAATGGGCAGCCTACAGATGTATTGTATATTGTGCTTGAGTTATTGTGGCATTTGATGCAATGGAAGGTATTTTTAAGCAGTGAGTGGCAACTTGTGTTAAAACACTGGAATGGTAAGCATGTATTTCCATCTGTCAACCAATTTTCACTCTAAATTCAACAGCATACATGAGGTCAGATCTTGACTTTCGATAACAGGAGAAACATGCATGTAAATAATATGCAGTCACTGGGAAAACTAAGACAGACAAATAAACTAAGCTTAAGATTTTAAAAAAATGCCATTTAGAAAAGTCTTGAATACAAAGGATGTTGGGCTTGTGACAAACAGAATCCTAAAGGACGTAATAAATCCGCTTTTAGTCGGAATCTTAATGTCATCATTATACTGGAATAACTGATGATTGTCCAGCAGCAGTGGCTGATGAGAGTAAAAAAGTGCTCAGCTAGATTCAAACCAGCATTCGTGTTGACTCACCAGTTTTATTAGAATGTCAGTTTTATTTCACAACAACATAAAGTTTCCAGAAATACAAACGTTAGTTCAAGAAAAGATGTGGAAGGTTGTTTAATGCATTTAGCTGGTGATTACATTGTTGCTGAGTCATATTAATCAAGTATCAACAGGTCATTTATGATCAAATGGAGGTACAGTGGACCCCATAAACACCTTTTAGTGCCCCTGTAGTGGTACGGTACATGGCACCGTTCACAACTGAAACATTTTAGATTGACTTAAAAACATGAATAAATAACAAACTGAGACTGGAGAAACCAAGAATTGTTATCCAATCCTCACAACAAAATGCCGTCACATTATAGGGTGTCGATGTGTTTTCAAGTTTCAGTTTTGTGATTTAACCATCACTGAGGACGCATAAAGATGACGAGGGTGTGCTGTTGAACACCGATTTTAGCAGGACTTGTAAAAGTCAGAATAAAGGGAGCTGCAGAAACATGCTAACAGACTAAAAACCAAAGTAAAACAGGCGCTGCAGAGTAAATGTACCGTAAAGAATTGATGCAGAATCTCAAAGCAGACAGAAGGATTTTCTTTCCTCAAACACACTGTTTGTTTGCTAGTCACTAAAGCAAACCTTCAATCTGTGTTGCCTAAAACATATTCTCGTTGTTGCTCATTAGCTCAACAGAAAATGTGCAGTAGGGGATGCTTTTCAAGCTTTGAACATTTGCAGATAGAACAATTATTTGTTTTTTCATGTTTTGTTTTTTCCTAAGGACAAATCTGAAGTTACATCTGCATCTGTTACTTGAGCAGCTTCACGTTCATTTTAAAGCAGAAAGACGATTAGCTTTACCAGGCATAGCAACCCAGGATTTTTTAACCCTCAAGCGACAAGCCATTTCAGTTGGTATTCTAATGACCGAGTGTGCTATCAGGAATACTTTTTTATGATTTGTTTGTGTATTTCACACTACTACTGTTTCCTTTATCCATGTTAGATATTCTGAAATGCTCTATTGTCATCAAGTATTGTTTTCAACCATTTTTATTTTTATGCAAAAAAGATTTAAAATACATGTTGTACAAACAAAATGACATTTAAACAGTCCTTGTCTGTTATTTCTTAAAATACATACATGAAATAATTTTTTGGTTTCAGTGATGTTAGAAAAATAATAATAATATGGAAGTGAAGGATGTTTAAGCTATATGAACTATGTGAATGATGTTTTACAACATAGTAAAATAATTTCAACGCCATAATTCTTGTGATCAGTGACAAATTACAGTGCAGAAGTTGGCATTAAGGATATCTATTTATTGTTTGGTTTTAGTTTGACACAAAATGTGGGGGATTCTTTATGATCTGAATTATTAGCTCATCTGGATAAGTGTCTGCTGTTAGTAGCCAATTTATTGCTCCTAGGTGGGTCTGTCCTGAGAGTACACGCTGAATGGATCTAACCACTTTAGCCTAGTGGCCAGCGTTTCGAGCCGTTGTTTGGTAGTTTCCAGAGGCTCAATTATGGACAGATTTTTTTTTTTTTACTTCTTATCCATTCAGGACGTGTCTCTCATGACACCCTTCTGCACCTCTGTTGACCAACTTATTGATGCGCTCATTTCTAATCCTGTCCACCCTGCTCACTCTCAGTGAAGATCTGAACATATTCAACTCTGCCACCTCCAGCTCAGTGCCTCTGTCTCCAAACCACCACAGCAGGCCTCAACAGCATCTTGTAAACTTTCCTTTCACTCTTGCTCCTATCTTATGTCACAAATCACCCCTGACACTCATCTTGGAACATCCTGCCTGCTTTCTCTTCTTCACCTCTCTTTTGCACTCTCTGCTGCTTTGGATGGTTGATGCTAGAAAATAAACTCATCTACCTTAACTACCTCTGTTCTTGTTCACCTTCCCACCCGTCTCACTTTCATTCCTCATACCTGCTCCCCACTGTCACTACAGATCAGCGTTATCTGCAAATATCATAATTCACACAGACTCCTGCCTGAGCTCAGCTGTCAGCCTGTCCATCACCACTGCAAACAGGAAGGGGCTCAGTGCAGATCCCTGATGTAATCCCAGCCCGACCTTTATCTGTCACTCCTACTGCACACCTCACCACTATCTCACTGTCCCCATTTCCTGCACCACCCTCACATACTTGTCTACTACTCCTGATTTCCTCACGCAGTACCACAGTTCTGCTTTTGGTACCCCATCATCTGCTTTCTCTGAACAACAAAGACACTCTGAAGCTCCTTCTGACCTTCTCCTGTCTGACTTCTCCATCAACACTCACATAGCATCTGTAGTGCTCTTTCTCAGCATGAAGCCATACTGCTGTCACCTCCAGCAGTTCTGTCCTAAATCATCATGGTGTGGCCCAAAAGCTTGGTCTCTCTGTAATTACTACGGCTCTGCACTTCACTCTTGTTCTTGAAAATCACTACCAGTACTCTTCTTCACTCTTCTCTCACTTCTTTCCTCCTCTCTGAGATTCTTTATTCATCAGCTCCTCAAAGTACTCCTTACATCTTTTCAGTGGACTTTTTTCACTCATTTCGTCATTCCTCTGTGTTGTGTTCCTCACATACAACTCACTATAAACCTTTTTCTTTGCTTTTGCTCTCTCTTTATCGTATGCCTAGGCTCCAATACTCCTGTCTAGTTTTTAAATCTCCCTGACTATCACACTTTTTATTTGCCAACCTCTTCCTTTGAATAATTTACTGTACTTGTTCTTTGCATCACCAAGTCTCCTTGTCCTCTTTCCTCTGTCCAGAGGTTCCATCAAACACCTCTGCAGTTTCCCTCACCACTTCAGCTGTACTTTTGTAGTTATCACCATTCCACCTGATCTTCTGCACACACAATATATCTACCTTCCTTCTCTTCATCATATCAGCCAACTCTCTCCCATTACCAGTTCTATTCCCTACATTTAGAGTAACAATAATACATTTTATTCATAGGCTCTTGTCAAGACATTCATTGAGACCTTAAAAACCATTAAATACCAAAGTCACAGTAGAGTCCCTACTCTCTCCACATTCCTGCCTATCCTTCTTTCCTGCTGCCCAAAACCAGCTCGATGGGGTTTAAGTCTGGAGACTGTGCTGGACACTCCATGTTTTCAAGCTCACCATCTTGTTCTTTGTTCCTGAGGTAGTTCTGGCGTACTTTGGACTTGTGTTTTGGGTCATTATCTTGCTGTAGGATGAATCCCTGACCAACTAGGTGCATACCAGAGGGTCCTGCATGGTGCTGCACAATGCTGTGGTTTTGGTTCAGGGAGCCTCTCACTCTGTACAAGTCACCGACCCTGGATCCAGCAAAACAGCCCCAGACCATCACACTTCTTCCTCCATGTTTGACCGTTGATGCCACACACAAAGATCCTGTGTGATGAACCGAGGATTTCAAATGTTGATCCATCAGTCCATAATACCTTCTTCCAGTCTTCAGTAGTCCAATGGTGGTGTTTCATGGCCCAGCCAAGCCTCTTTGTCTTATTCTGACGTCTGGCTTTCTTGCTGCAACTCATCCTGTCAAACCTGCAGCTCAAAGTCTTCTCTTCACAGTTGAAACTGAGACTTTCTTACTATGACCACTGTTAAGCTCTGCATGAAGCTGTTTTCCTGTCAGCCGCCTATAACACAGCTGTTAACTCTCAGAAACTTGTCCTCTGATTCAGTTGTGTCTTTGGGTCTGCAGACCTGTTCCTGTCACAGTTTGTTTCTGAGCCTTTGGATGGTGAAGGAAACTGTACTCACTGACACCTTGACTTTCTTTGCGGTTTCTGCATTGGGGCGATCGTGGCTCAAGAGTTGGCAGTTCGTCTTGTAATTGGAAGGTTGCCGGTTCGAGCCGACTGGATTGACAGTCTCTGCTGTTGTGTCCTTGGGCAAGACACTTCACCTACCGCCTACTGGTGATGGCCAGAGGGGCTGATGGCGCAATATGGCAGCCTCGCTTCTGTCAGTCTGCCCCAGGGCAGCTGTGGCTACAACTGTAGCAGATTGTGAGAGTGAATGAATAGTGGAATTGTAAAGGGCTTTGAGGGTCTCGAAAAGCGCTATATAAATGCAATCTATTATTATTATTATTATTATTATTATTATTATTATTATTATTTCTCTGTAGGACACACCAACATTTATAAGTGTTATGATGGTCTGTCTCTCTTCCATTGTTAATCGCCTTTTTCTCACCATTTGTGTACCATCACACTGCTTTCTGCAGTACAATACTGTTCAAATGATGCTCATGAGGGTATGGTACCACAGTGTGTTCCAACACTGCTTATATGCAGACAGAGGGGGTTGGAAGTAATCCAGAAAAGTCGGAACAGCTGTAGGAATTAGTAGCATCAGCTTCAAGGCTTGATCAAGCTCCATTGTTGCAGAACAGCTTTGTGCTCCTGAAAAAGGCCTTTTTGCATAATTCTGAAATGTACATTATTTTTCAGTTTCGGGGAACCTTACCTTTTTTTTTTTTTTAACCTCTGGCAGTTCACCACTTACTTTTGTACCATTTCAAGCTATTCATTGTACTTGAACGACTTGAATTGCAATAAATAACTGGAAAAATTAGGGTGTTCTAAAACTTTTGATCAGTAGTGTATATAAAATCCCACTCACCCTGCGGACCGTCTTTATCCTTCAAGCTAGGGTCTTGTACCAGAACCCTGGGATCTTTAGGGTCCTGCACAGTACATGTGCTGATCCTAGGACTGTGCCCTTCTGAACAGAGACCTCACATCTGTTTCCAGGGATCTGCTGAAGCCACTCCCCCAATTTAGGGATCACTTTCCCGAGTGTTCCAATTACCACAGGGACTGTTCCCTTCACCCTCCACATCTTTTTGAGCTTCTCTCTCAGACATTGGTATTTCTCCAGCTTCCCATGTTCCTTCTTCCTGATGTAGCTATTACTTGGTATAACTATATTTCATTACAGCCATCTTCCTCTTGGTTAGCCATCACCAGTTTATCCATCTATACCTGGAAGTCCCATATGATGTTAGCTCGGTCATTCTCCACCACCCTAGGGTGTGTACCCCATTTTAACCC